AGCTGGGATTACAGGCACGCGCCACCATGCCAAGCTAATGTTTTGTTGTATTTTTAGTAGAGACGGGGTTTCACCATGTTGACCAGGATGGTCTCGATCTCTTGACCTCGTGATGCACCCGCCTCGGCCTCCCAAAGTGCTGGGATTACAGGCGTGAGCCACCGCGCCCGGCCGTCTGCTTTGTTTTAAAGGGCATGCCATGTAAATAAGGACCACAACCTTTTTATAAAAATTGGGTATATGGCTGGGCTGTGCTTCGCACCTGTAATCCCAGCACTTTGGGAGGCCGAGGCAGGCAGATCATGAAGTCAAGAGATCGAGACCCTCCTGGCCAACATGTTGAAACCCTGTCTCTACTGAAAACACAAAAATTAGCTGGGCATGGTGGCAGGCACCTGTAATCCCAGCTACTCAGGAGGGTGAGGCAGGAGAATCGCTTGAACCTGGGAGGCGGATGTTGCAGTGAGCTGAGTTCACACCAATGCACTCCAGCCTGGCAACAGAGCAAGAATCCATCTCAAAAAAAAAAAAAAATTGGTATACGTATTTGGTACAAAGAAAACTTGTAGTATGAAAGAAAATAAGGATAAGCCACATCCTCTGAGAAAAATGTAGTAAAACCAGAAATAAAAGACCAAAAAGCCAGGCTGGGCGCGGTGGCTCATGCCTGTAATACCAGCACTTTGGGAGGCGAAGGCATGCAGATCATTTGAGGTTGGGAGTTTGAGACCAGCCTGACCAACATGGAGAAATCTCTTCTCATTAAAAAAAAAAAAAGGACCAAAAAGCAAAAAAGAGCCCTGCTGCTGGGAAGTATCCAGATTCCTTTTTTATCCATCTGTTGGATTAAGGAGGAAATTAAAACAGTTGTGACAGAATAGACAGGAATTGGCAGTAATGTAAACTCATAGAAACTATGAGGTGTGGCCAAAGCTGCGCTTGGGGGAAGAGTCATAGTCTTCTGCATTCTCGTTATTAGCACAAATGGAACAAACAGAAATCGATGAAGCAGTTAAATCAAGAAGTTATCCAACAACAGAATAAACTGAGTGAAATCTTTTCTTGATGATTCGAAGTGCCTCGTAGAGTTTTCTATGTTGCTGCTTGTTTTTTGTTGTTTTTTTTTCTTCGGAGACAGGATTTTGCTCTGTTGCCCAGGTTGGAGGACACTGTTGCAACCGTATATTGCTGCAGCCTCGACCTCCTGGGCTCAAGCCATGCTCCCACCTCACCCTCCTGAGTAGCTGAGACCACAGGCGCACATTACCACACGTGGCTAATTTTTGAATTTTTTCTAGAGGCAGGGGTCTTGCGGTGTTGCCCAGGCTGGTCTTGAACTCTTGGGCTCAAGGGAACCTCTTGCTTCGGCCCCCCGGCATGCTGGAATCACAGGCGTAAGCGTCGGCACCCAGCCAGCTGCTCAGTTTTAGTTGCTGTCCCGCTTCTGTCACTGTTTTTCAGATGTCCCTGCCCCCATGTTTTCCAACATGCCGATTCTGCTGATTTCTTTTTTTTTTTTTTTTTTTCAGAGTTCTGCCCTGTCGCCCAGGCTGGAGTACAGTGGTGCAATCTCAGGTCACTACAAGCTCCACTTCCGGGTTCAAGCGATTCTCCAGCCTTGGCCTCCCGAGCAGCTGGGACTACATGTGCTCACTGCCACTTGCAACTAATTTTGTATTTTTAGTAGAGACGGGGTTTCATGGCCAGGCTGGTCCTGATCCTGACCTCAGGTGCCACCTGCCTCAGCCACCTAGAGTGTTGGGATTACAGGCGTGAGCCACCGCCCCCGACCTGACTCTTGTTCGCGATCTTTGCAACGATTAAGTCGTGTGTCCTGCCGATCCCCGCAAGGAACTTGAGCTTCTTCTTTATGTTAAATTCATAGACAAATGTGGCAGGAAGCACTTGCCCGTGTAGCGCTGAGTCTTCCCATCGTGAGAACCTGGTATTGGACCTCGCTTATTTAAGCTCTCCTTTGTAGTCCGTAGTTTGAAAATGAGCTTTGAAAATTGCAGTGTAAGACACTTAATCGTGTTGCTGGTTTGGGGTGTGATTTGGTCGCACACACTTCAGACAGGGTGGCGTGTAGGTGTTTGACGATTTTTTGTGTAGCAGTGTACGGTTCTTTCCCTCGTTTGTTTGGGTTTGGGGTTTTTTTTGTTGTTTTTTCTGCGACCAGGTCTCACTCTGTCACCCGTGGTGGAGTGCAGTCGCCCATTCGTGGTTGACTGCAGCCTCGACCTCCTGGACTGCGAGCAGCTGAGACTATGAATGTACGCCACCATGCCCAGCGAATTTTGGTATTCGTTGTAGAGATAGGGTCTAACTCTGTTGCCCAGGCTGGTCTCAAACTCCGGAGCTGACGCAGTCCTCCTGCCTTGGCCTCCCGAAGAATGGTGTTTCAGGCGTGAGCCACCGTGCTCAGCCATACTCATTTTCTGTCTTCGTTCACTCCTGAGACATCCCTTAGTTTTTTTTGTTTGTTTTCACACGGAGTTTTGCTCTTGTTGCCCAGGCTAGAGGGCAATGAATGCTGTGATCTCGGCTCACCACAACCTCCACCTCCCGGGCTCAAGCGATTCTCCTGCCTCAGCTCCCAAGTAGCTGGCATTACAGGTGTGTGCCACGACGCCCAGCCAATTTTCTGTTTTTAGTAGAGATGGGGTTCCTCCATGTTGGCCAGGCTGGTCTTGAACTCCTGACTTCAGGTGATGCACCCGCCTCGGCTTCCCGAAGTGTCAGGATTACAGGCGTGAGCCACCGCGCCCGGCCAGTTATTTGTGTTTTTCGCTTTGGCCAGTTTTCCAGGTGAGCCATCACCGTTTTCATCCCCAGACCCACAGCTTCCCCCCGACCCCAGCGTTGCCTCTGTGCTTTTTACATTGTGTGGTTTTTCTAGAACCAAATGGTGGGGGCGATGGTGAGGACCCCACTTTGGGCAGGTGGGTTGGCTCAGCCCTCCTTTGCAAGCCTGATACTGGCTGTGGGTTTGAGCTGGATCTTCTGTCTGCCTGCTTTTGCCACGTTCAGGTGTGTCCCCCTGTCCTATATGAAGATACATGGTGGGCAGTCAGTACTACCAGGTACATATGGGTCTTGGAAGGTCCCTGGCTTCCCACTCACCCTTTGCTCGGCCAGGTGCGCTGCCTCACGCCTGTAATCCCAGCACTTTGGAAGGCTGAGGAGGGCAGATAACTTCATCAGGAGTTCGAGAGCAGCCTGACCAACATGGCAAAACCTTGTCTTTACTAAAAATATAAAAATTAGGGCCAGCCATAATGGCTTATACTCCCAACACTTTGGGAGGCCGAGGTGGGTGGATCACGAGGTCAGGAGTTCAAGACCAGCCTGCCCAACACAGTGCAACCCTGTCACTACTAGCAATACAGAAACTACTTGGGGAGGCCAAGGCAGGCAGATCACGATGTCAAGAGATGGAGACCATCCTGGCCGACATGGTGAAACCCCATCTCTACTAAAAATACAAAAATTAGTTGGGCATGGTGGCACGTGCCTGTAGTCCCAGATACTTGGGAGGCTGAGGCAGGAGAATCGCTTGAACCCAGGAGGCGGAGGTTGCGGTGAGCCGAGAATTCGTCACTGCACTCCAGCCTGGGTGACAGAGTGAGACTCTTTCTCAAAAAAAAAAAAAAACAATAATAATACAAAAATTAGCTGGGCGTGGTGGAGGGCACCTGTAATCCTGGCTACTTGGGAGGCTGAGGCAAGAGATTCACTTGAACCTGGAGGTTGCAGTGAGCCAAGATTGTGCCACTGCACTCCATCCTGGGCTACAGAGCTAGGCACTGTCTCAAAAAAGAAAAAAAGGGCCGGGCACAGTGGCTCATTCTTGTAATCCCAACACTTTGGGAGGCCAAGCTGGGCAGATCCCAAGGTCAGGAGTTTGAGACCAGCCTGGCGAACACAGTAAAACCTGTTCTTTCTAAAAATACAAAAATGAGCCGGGCATGGTGGTGGGTCCCTGTAATTCCAGCTGCCTGGGAGGCTGAGGCAGGAGAATCGCTTGAACCTGGGAGGTGGAGTTTGCAGTGAGCCAGGATCGTGTCACTGCACTCCAGCCTGGGCGACAGAGTGAGACTCTATCTCAAAAATAGATATGCATATATTTTAAATCATTTCAGCCACATTTTAAGCTGTGCCACCGTTTGGCTCTTAGATAGCATTCGGAAGCACCTGTCATTGGGCCTGTGGGGAGTCTGGGCCCCCGTGTCCTCTGTGCGCTTGCTCTGCTGGTTTCTTTGTCCTTCACTGGGCTGCCCCGCGCATCCTCAATTTCACTGACTTTGCTTCCGAAGAATCTGCTGCGTTGGCGAATTGATATTGATCAGTTGACTGCCTTTCTATCGGCATTTCTTCTCCTTCTAAAGTTTTTTTGGTGACTTTGAAATTGCAGGCCACCTTTGCCGACGTCCGCCCTCTTCTGTTTCATCACGGGGTTATGGAGGACCGCACCCTGGGGAACCCTATCTCATTGGTTTCCATAATGCCTATTTTTCTGGTATTACTGACGTTTCATACTTTTTTTTTTTTTTTTCCTGATGTCTTCTTCAAGGCAGGTTTCTTCAGAGGTGTCTGTGTTCCAAGTTGGAGGTCCCTTCTTGACTTCTAGGTCTCCAGGGCCAACAGTCAGCTTTGGCTTGAACGCTAGCCGCTGTTGGGAGGGTGCGGACCTCCTGCCGAGGCTGAGGCACGGGTTGTGGCTGCCCGCCTTCACGAGTACTTAAGGGATTCTTGGGTGTGGAGCTGCGATGCCTTTAGGTTTCAGCTGGACCATGTTTGGATTTTTTTTTTTTTTTTTTTTTTTTTTTTTTTTTTTTTTTTTTTTTTTTTTTTTTTTTTTTTTTTTTTTTTTTTTTTTTTTTTTTGAGATAGAGTTTCGCTCTTGTTGCCCAGGCTGGAGTGCAATGGCGCATTCTCGGCTCACCGCAACCTCCGCCTCCTGGGTTCAAGCGATGCTCCTGTCTCAGTCTCCCGAGTAGCTGGGACTACAGGCATGTGCCACCACACCCGGCTAACTTTTTGTATTTTTAGCAGAGACAGCATTTCACCATGTTGGCCAGGATGGTGTCCATCTGTTGATCTCGTGTTCCACCCGCCTCAGCCTCCCAAAGTGCTGGGATTACAGGTGTGAGCCACCGCGCCCTGCCCATATTTAGATTTTTAATCTGTTTAATGTCAGGCTGAGAGCGCGGCCCTTCCCCGCCATGCTGTTTGTCAGTTTCTCATATATGTTGAAGTATTTGGATGCCAGGTTTGTGGGCACTTGTGGGCTCGGGACAGTGGGATTTCACTGTGGACTGAGCCATCGTCAGCAACAAAAGAAAATTCCCTTGGCCAGCTGCAGTGGCTCGCGCCCGTAATCCCAGCACATTGGGAGGTTGAGGTGGGCGGATCATCTGAGGTCAGTAGTTCGATGCCAGCCTGGCCAACAAAGTGAAACTCCGTCTCTACTAAAATACAAAAAATTAGCTGGATATCGTAGTGGGTGTCTATAATCCCAGCTACTCGGGAGGCTGAGGCTGGAGAATCACTTGAACCCGGGAGGCAGAGGTTACAGTGAGCTGAGATCGCTCCATTGCACTCCAGCCTGGACAGCACAGCGATGCTCCATCTTAAAAAAAAAAAAAATCCTCCCTTGAATTAAGACTTTGATGTGGCCAGGTGCAGTGGCTCAAACCTGTAATCTCAGCACTTTGGGAGGCTGAGGTGGGCGCATCACCTGAGGTCGGGAGTTCGAGACCACACTGACCAGCATGGAGAAATCCTGTTTCTACTAAAAATACAAAAATTACCCAGGCGTGGTCGTGTACCCCTGTAATCCCAGCTACTCGGGAGGCTGAGGCAGGAAAATGGCTTGAACCTGGGAGGCAGAGATTGCAGTGAGCTGAGAACATACCACTGCCCTCCAGCCTGAGCAACAGAGCGAGACTCTGTCTGGAGAAAAATTCAAAGGGACCGGGCGCGGTGGCTCACACCTTAATCCCAGCACTTTGAGAGGCTGAGATGGGTGGATCACCTGAGGTCAGGAGTTAGAGACCAGCCTGGCCAACATAGTGACACCACATCTCTATAAAAAAAAAAACGCCAGGCGCGGTGGCTCACGCCTGTAATCCAAGCACTTTGGAGGCCAAGGCGGGCGGATCACATGAGGTCGGGAGTTCAAAACCAGCCTGACCAATGTGGTGAAACCCCATCTTTGATAAATAATATAAAATAAAAAATAAAAGAGGAAACTTTGAAACGAATGTTACGACGCTTCCTTTCCGTTCGCGTTGCTTGGCAGATCTCCGTGCACTTGCTTGTGTCTCCCAAGTCGCCTGTTCCGGAAGTATCTTTTGTAGGCGCCGTGTTTTTAGATGAGATGTTAAACACCCGTCCGTCTTAGTTCCCAGCCTTTCCTTCCGTAATCTTTCCACCCGTGTGCTGCCAACCCTGTTTCCCTTCCCCGGCGTATGCGTTTTCCTGAATTGTTTCGGAAACTCTGCTGCTCGGCGCCTCTGCGAGCGGTGGTGTTCCTGGTTTTGAGTGACGCGTTTAAGGCCGTGATTGTATGTAGTGGTTAGTACTCCGCGTTGTGAGTATCACGCTCTCAACTTCCGAAGTGAAATCACATGTGCCCCCTTCTGTGAGAAAGTGAAAATGGAGCCTGTGTTTTTCTTCCCTGCTGGTATTTGGTGTCAATAAATCGCTCCTTTTAAAAAACATTGGATCCGTTCATAATTGCGTGTTTGCGTCTTACTAGGGAGCGTTTGTACATGACGTAGGGACTTCTGCTTTCCGTGAGGGCCTGAGCAAATGACGTCTATCTTTAGCAAGGTTTCTTCATCTGTACAGTGGGGATGATGGAAGCCATTGCAAGGTTTTGGTGAAATGAGAGAAAACTCGCAGAATGCCCCCTCAGGGCTTGCGCTGGTGTGCCTGTCTGTCACGGGTTCTGGGAGTCTCTGGTTAGTGGTTAAATGTGCTCACTGCCCGCACTTCATTCCGTAAAACCCCAGGCTGTGTCATTTTTTTTTTTTTTTTTAAATTAGGGGTTTCACCATGTTGGTCAGGCTGGTCTTGAACTCCCGACCTCAGGTGATCCGCCTGCCTTGGCCTCCAAAGTGCTTGGATTACAGGCGTGAGCCATCACGCCCGGCTTAGCTGTGACATTTCTTTAAGGATCTGTGAGGCTTGCAGTCTTAAGACAGTCTTCTGTTTTTTTAGGATAAACAGTTGAACTTCTCTGTCCTTTCTGCTGTGTGTTTGGTTCCCTCTCGAGTCTGTTGCTTGTTCAGAGATCACAGGTTGGCTTACCGTTTGGTTTTGAGGTGGGATCTCTCCCTGTCACCCAGGCTGGAGTACAGTGGTAGGATCGCTGCTCACTTCTGCCTCGACCTCCCGGGCTCAAGCAGCCCTCCCGCCTCGGCCTCCCAGAGTGCTGGGATTATAGGCTTGAGCCACTGTGCTCAGCCCCGGGTTGGTTTCTGAGCTTGTTTTGAGGGGCAGGCTCTCTGGTCTCCACACCTGGAAGCAGGCGTGGGATGGGGTTGTCTGTTCTCTCTGCAAAGCGGGGCTTGTTTCTCTGAGTTGTTACTTACGTCTATGAGCCACGCCCACTCTTGGGGTAAGCTCTGCCCTCCAGGGAAACCCCAGGGCCCTGGGGGAGCGGGTTGCGAGGGGTCCCTGGTTCTGGGGGAGGGAGTTGCCTGTTTTCCCCGCCCAGCCTCGTTGCCTGCCCAAGGTCATGTCTGGCCACTTTCAGGGCTCGGGACCCCCACCCTTGGGTGGTGTGTGGTTCCAGTCGCTCTCTCTTCAGCCTTGGGGGTGTCTGCTCAGGGGTAGGCCACGGGGCCCTGCTTTCCTGCCTGCGACCCCCAGACACTAGGGGCAGATGGAGGAGGGCTCCTGCAGGGTCTCCTCAGCTGTCCGCAGGGAAGGGCTCTGCACTGCCCCAGACACGTTTTCTCCCCACTGCTGGCCCTCTCAGAATGCTGGGTGCGTGTCCACGGCCTGCGGCCCCTGAGCAAGGAAACGAAGCGAGAGGATGGACCCAAAGCGGCTGCAGGGCGGGGCTGGGCCGCGGCGCGTGCGGGCCCGTCACCTTCTCCCACAGCTTGAACTTATGTGAGGTGGATGCCCTGCTGGTGGCACGTGCCTGTGATCCCACACTTCCGGAGAGGGCGGGGTGGGGAGATCGCTTAAGGCCAGCCTGGGCAACGTAGGGAGACCCCACTGGTACAAAAAAATTCAAAAAATTCACCAGGCACGGTGGCTCATGCCTGTAATCTCGGCACTTGGGGAGTCCGAGGCGGACGGATCACCTGAGGTCTGGGGTTCGAGACTAGACTGGCCAACACGTATGGAGCTCCCTCTCTGC